TATGCTCTGCATGGTCTACCTCCCCCTAACTAACTGCTTCTTGGTACAGACTTGAAGGGGATCCTCGGGAAAGGGTCAGGCGAGAAGTGGTCCTTTCACATATAGGCCATAGGTGGACTCCTGACGGGCCAGAGTTAAAAGCCTACGGTTCTCAGAAGGATCAAAATTTCATGCAAAAACGGGGAGAACCTGATGGAAAAAATGTGCTGCAAACGGACGTTTCCTGTCCTGACCACACACACAATGTAAGATAGGGGACTCTTGAAAGAACCATGTGCGTCTGCTGGGGAAAAATGGGAAATTCCACCCCTCTTAAACCAAAATTTCCAGATCAAAAGTTAAATGACAAAAACTTTAAAATAAATCAAGGACTTTTTTTTTTTATATACAGTTGGAAGCCCTCCCCTAAGCAAGCGGTAAAGGGAAATATCAACATACTGCCTATATAAAAAATACTTGATAGTCGTCTGGTGTGAGAACCAAAGTTATGTTTTGAGTCTTAATCACTGTGCCCAAGAGATCCATAAAACAAACAAACAAAATGCCTCTAACCTGTAAGTCCCTCACCCAAGGCCTGATACTTCCCGAGATGCTGGAGCCTGCTGTTCATGTACGATAACAAGCCACATGTTTTCACTTCCCTAAACAAATTTGGTTGACCACCCAACTACACCGGAAGTGTTCGATCACTCCTAGACGAGAGGTACCTAGGAAGGGCCTCAGGATGTATGCTGGCCCCTGATTGGACGGAGGTGGGAAGTACGAAGCCTTGTGGGTTTGCCTAGACGATGTAGCTCGTGGCCATTTTCTGGGAACCCTGGAATGGACCTGGTCAGAGTCTTATCATCCTGGCTAGTATTTGATTAAAGCTTACTACAAATTTCAAAAAAACCTGTAGCGGTCTTATTCTCAACCAGTGGGAGTAACACAGACTTAGTGGTACATGTCTGTACTCCTAACACTGTGGCGGCAGAAGCTGGAGGACTAGCGAGATTTTTTGGTCTGGGCCACATTAGGGAGACTTGTCAAAAAAAACACAATACCTGGAGAAATGGTTCAGCGGTTTGATTCCCAGCACTCATGTTGGGTGACTCACAACTGCCTGTTAACTCCAAACACCAGGGGTTTGATGCCCCCTTCTGGTCTCCTCAGGTACAGACACATGTGGCGTACACTCACATAGATACACACACACACACACACACACACACACACACACGAGGCTAGAGGGTTAAGCTCAGTGATAGAATATTTGTTCTTTTGAGATTTTTCATAGATTTTCCCTACATATGAAAATCTCATAGAAAGCACACACATGTTCCTCATACATGTGCATACATGTGCCTATGTTTATGTGTTGAAACAATTGGTTAGGCCGTGGAGGTTTGGACGAGGAAGGCCTTCCATCAGTTCAGGTATTCGAACACTTGGTCTCCAGCTGATGACCCTGTCTGGGGAGGGGGTACAGCTTTGGGGGAGGAAGCCCCTCACTGGGGGTTTGTAGCCTCACCCCGCCTGCAGATCACGTTCTGCTTCATTTTTCTTGGTTGAGGTGTGATCATTTCCCTGCTCCTGTTACCATGCCTACCCACCACAACGGACTCATATTTCCCAGAAGCCACAAGCTCAAATAAGCCCTTTCTTAAGTCATTCTTAGTCATGGCATTTTATCACAGCAAGAGAAAAGTGACAGGTACACTGGCTAACCCGGATTCAAGAAGTCACTAAATGTCACCTTTGGGGCCGGCAAGGTAGTTCAGCCAGTAAAAGCACTTGCTACTCAGGTGTGATCATGTGAGTTAGATGTCCATGTTCTCTCTCTAATAAGTAATAAAAATAAACCCCTTGGTCAGGTCAGTGTGGGTTCAAAGAATTTGTGACAATTTCTAATCCTCCATGATCACTAGTGACCAAAATCTCTCTCTCTCTCTCTCTCTCTCTCTCTTTTTTTTGTTTGTTTTTTTTTGAGACAGGGTTTCTCTGTGTAGTTTTGGTGCCTATCTTGGATCTCACTCTGCAGCCCAGGCTGGCCTCGAACTCACAGAGATCGGCCTGGCTCTGCCTCCCGAGTGCTGGGACTAAAGGTGTGCGCCACCACCGCCCGGTTCGACCAAAATCTCTTTAAAGCTTAGCTTGTACTTACTTTTAGTAAGTGTTATGTATTCATATTTAGTAATTAAATATATATTTGAAAATATTTTAACCATGTCAAATTACATGCTTCATTGTGTATCATCTGGCAGCATCACTGATACCCAACCTAATACAGTCAACCTACGCTTACTGTAACAAAAATCAGGATTAAACTAAAAAGATGCCCTGGCCCTGATGTCACAGGCCTAGAACACCACCGGCTTCTCAGGAGGCTGAAGCAAGAGGATGAGAAGTTGGAGGATATCTTGGGCTGCACAGTGAGTTTAAGGCCAGCCTAAGCAAAGTAGTGAGGCTCCGTCAATCAAAAGTAAAGAGAACCGAAGACGGAGATCTCTGATGGAGGACTTGCCTAACATTCACAAGGCTCCATCCCCAAGGCCACCTAAATAAAGACAAGTAAGCAAACTGAAGCTGGAGCTGGGGAGATGCCTTGGTGGCTCCCTGGAGTGGTCGTGGTGCACATGTTTAATCTGAGAGCTCAGGAGGTGGAGGACCTCTGTGAGTCCAAACAACACATACACACACACACACACAACAACAACAACAACAAAAAAAAAAAAAACAAAAACGCTTGTCACTCTTGCAAAGAATTTGAGTTTGGTTCCCATCACCCATGTGGTACTTCTCACAACTGCCTGTAACTCCAGTTCCAGGGCATTCAATGTCTTCCTTTGCAAGTGCACATACCCACATGCAGACACACAGAGAGACAGATCACACGTGTACACACACACCACACACACAATGATGTTGTTTTGAATTATAAACAACACCTAGCTAAACAGTCGCCTCTTTCCTTGTGCCAAACATTCTAAGCATTCGGTTATTTATGCAGTAACAACTAACAATCCCACAATGAAAGCGCTTCTGTCTCATTCTCTAAACGAGGAAACAGGAATTGCTTCGCTGAGAAAGGGCAAGATTAAGATTAGAACTTGACAGGTTGCCTCCGTGTCCAGCCAGGTAGCCAGTATATGACACTGTCTCCAAGCACGACGCACCACAGATGGCTAGGAATGCCATCCAATACAAAATCATAAGCTTAATTAAAACATAAGTGTTGGAAACTTTTTTCCTTGTAATTCAGTTTTATGGATCTCAAGTGTGAACTTTAAAGAAAATATCAGGAGGTTGGACACATCTCTCAGTGATGAATGCCTTCAGCCACAAAACATACCTAACGATATCAAAGACAATAAAATTTACAGTGTTTGGGTTCCCAGCTACTCAAGAGAGCAAAGTAAGGGGATCACTTGAGTCTGAGAGTTTAGAAACAGCCTGGGCAAATATATGCTCTTAAAAAATGCTCTTGAGGGGGCTGGAGAGGTGGCTCAGTGGTTATGATCACTGGCAGATCTCCCAAAGGACCTGAGTTTGATTCCCAGCTCCCATTTGGCCACTCATAACTCTTAGTAACTCCAGTCCCAGGAGATCCAATGCCCTCTCCTGTCCTCAGGTACCAAGCTGCATTAGGGCACAGCCACACATGTAGGCATCGCTCACACACATAAAATAAAATGAATCATTTTTTGGAGACAGGGTTTATCTCTGTATAACAGCTCTGGCTGTCCTGGAACTCACTCTGTAGCCCAGGCTCGCCTCGAACTCACAGAGATCCGCCTGCTTCCGCCTCCTGAGTGCTGGAATTAAAGGTGTGCACCACCCACCCTGGCAGAATAATTTTTTTTAAACAATAAGAAGGGGATTTATATTAGAGAAGACATCAAATTCTTATCAAATGGGAAAAAGGCAGTGGAAGGTCTGTTGTGTTCATTACTCCTGGAATGATCTTACTTTTAGGGTTCTCTGTTCCGTAAGAATATTACTGCTTGTAATAGTAAAGCCAGTGACATGCACAGCCTTCCTTTCTAAACAACTGGATCAAGCAATCCTGTCTGGAGTTAAATATTTAGTCACTAGGGAGAGGAAGTATTATTTGGACTAAGACAAATGTAAGCACAGGCTGGACTCAAGATTGTAAAGACTGACTTTTTAACTATTGGACTTCCGTCTGCAGGTGATAGATTGTCATAAACAGGCTTTTCTAAAGGGCACGTAATTTTTCTTTTTACATTCATTAGTGTGTGTGCTCATGTGGGCACACCGGTGAGTGTGCCGCACACCAACGTGGAGCTCAGAGGACAGGTTGAGAATGTCTGCTCTGCCGTTCTACTTGAGTTCCCTGGATGGAACGTAGGCTTGGCAGGAAGTACCTTTACCATGCTGTCTCATTGGCCTCGGAGGTTTTATTTTACTTTATTTTAGTGTCGGGATGTTTTGCCTGCATCTATGCTTGTTCACCATGTGTGTCCCTGATGCCTGTGGAGACCAGAAGAGGTGTCAGATCCCAGGGACTGGAGTTGGATGGTTCTGAGCCACCATGTGGGTGCCGGAAACCAAACCATCTTTCCAGGCCCTGCATTATATTTCCCATAAAGACAAACAAGTTCTTTGGAGGACTCATTCCAGGTTTTAGTCAAAGACTGAGACAGGAAAAGTTAAATATGAACCTAGAATTCGAGAAAAATAATGATTACTTTAAAAAAGAAAGAAAGAAAGAAAGAAAGAAAGAAAGAAAGAAAGAAAGAAAGAAAGAAAGAAAGAAAGAAAGAAAGAGGGTCCAGAGCGGAGGCTCCCGGTGGATAAGAGCACTGGCTAACTCTAAAAAAGAAAGAAAGAAAGAAAGAAAGAAAGAAAGAAAGAAAGAAAGAAAGAAAGAAAGAAAGAAAGAAAGAAAGAGTCCAGAGCGGAGGCTCCCAGTGGATAAGGGCACTGGCTGCTCTTGCAGAGGACCAGGGTTAGTTCCAATAACTCACATAGAATTATCATCCGTAACTCCAGCTCCACGGGGTCGGCCTCCTTGGACACCAGGTGTGCATGTGGGTGCACAAACAACTATGTAAACAAAACACTTAGACACATGAAAACATCTTTAGAGGAAGAAGAGGAGGAGGAGGAAAAGAAGGAGGAGGGGAAGGAGGAGGAGGAGAAAAGCAGGAGGGGGGAGGAGGGAGAGGAGGAGGAAAAAGAGGAGGGGGAGGAGGAGGAAAAGGAGGAGTAGATGAAGAAGAATTATTCAGGTTGGTCTAGAGGTGGCCTGCTGGGCTAAAGGCACTGATGACTCCAGTTTGATCCCCAGGTCCCTCACAGTAGTAGAAGGAGAGAAATAATTCCTGCAGATTGTCATCTGACCTACACACACACACACACACACACACACACACACACACACACACACACAAATTATTAAAACTTTGAAGAGAATCTTTTTTAAAAAAAAATGATGGGAGGGGCTAGAAAGACCCCTCAGTGGGTAAGAGCACTGGATGCTCTTCCAGAGGACTCCGGTTCAATTTCCAGCACCCACATGGCAGGCACCACATCCCCTGTGGTTCTAGGGGATCTGACACCCTCATCTGGCCTCCGAGGACACCAGGCATGCAAGAGGTACACTTATATAACATGGGCAAAATATCTATATATATAAAATAAAAAAGCTAAAAGTTTTTAACTAAAAATGATTATATATGATATGTATTATGATATATGTCATATATAATGGTTATATATATATCATATATAATGGTTATATATATATATATATGGCTCAGTGTGAAGGCAGCTTCACGAGACTGGTACTAGTTGGATATTATGACAGTTTTAGCATAAAAATAATTCACAATAAGAATGAAATGTGAATTATTGGAAAATATGAATCTATTAGCCTAAACTGAAGGAAAAAATTAAGAATCTGGCTGGGCGTGGTGCCAGTGCCATTGTAAGTCTAGCACCAGAGAGACAGAGTTAGGTGTAGGGAAAGGGTGGATGCCGCTGATAAGTGTGGAGTGGGTGGAGTTGTGAATGGCTACTTTATAACTACCACAGTAAAAACCAGTTACAGTAAGATGAATAAATGATTGTTAATTAAAGAGGAAATTTGGTTAAGAGCAGGATCTATACATTTTTATGATGTTTTAATCCTTGTGGCATTGAGGATTAAACCCAGGGCTTCTAGAACATTAGGCAAGTACCATATCCCCAGCTCCAGAAAGCCCCTTCTGACTGGCTTATTTGTTGTGGAATATGACTTTAACTAGGCAAAGATGTGTTCCATTTGTTTATACTGCAGACTGTTACTCTAACTGTGTACAGATGTGTTACTTTTGTTTATGCTGCATTTGTTTAACTATGCAAAGATGTGTAACATTTGTTCCACCTTGCCTGCCTAAGGCACCCGATTGGTCTAATAAAGAGCTGAACGGCCAATAGCTAGGTAGGAGAGGGATGGGCGGGGCTGGCATGCAGAGAGGACAAACAGGAGAGGAAATCTAGGCTCCAGAGGAGGAGGAAGAAGAGAGGAGAGAACGGGGGAAGAGAACTGGGAAGAGAAGAAGGAACACACCCAGGATCAGAAGCCAGTCAGCCAACATAGAGACAGCCAGAAAGTAAGATATACAGAAAGAAGAAAAGGTAAAAAGCCCTGAGGCAAAACATAGACGAAGAGAAAGAGGTTAAGTTAAAAGAGCTACCCAGAAATGAGCCTAAGCTAGGCTGAGCATTCAGAACTAATAATAAGTCTCCGTGTCGGGATTTGGAAGCTGGTTGGTGGCCCCAAAGAAACAGCCGGGTACCCTTATTAGTTTTGAACTTTCCTGTGCATGACAGACAGCATCTCTAGGAGACACATCACTTAGGAGGACTGAAGGGACACAGTGTAACTCCAGACATGCTACCCTGACAAAGACAGAGTGTAGTACAGAGTTCTGTCTGGGGGTAGTTAGCTTGATTCTAAGTAGGAAGATAAAGACAGGCTTAATGAGGGGAAATAGATGTATATACATATCTGTATAAATATAAACTAACTTGTATTTTTTTTAATGCCAGTCATTTTTCAAAGAAAGACTGAGAAACTTCTAGATTAAAGATGGCTAAGGTACTTCTACCGGGACCTACCAACATGGGCTGTGTTTGCACTAAAACCTTATTCCCAGCACACGCTGCAGGAGAAAGGGACAGGGGAGGGTCTGGAGAGACGAGGAAGTGTAGCTGAAATTTTCTTGGTCCTGCCTGGCCCAAGGTCAGGACAAATCTCTCTCACCTGCCAGTCCCGCAGCCGCTCAGACCTAACCAAGTAAACACAGAGACTTATATTACTTATAAACTGTTTGGCTGTGGCAGGCTTCTTGCTATCTGTTCTTATGTCTTAAATCAACCCACTTCTATTAATCTATAAGTTGCCACGTGGCTCGTGGCTTACCAGTATCTTAACATCTGCTTCTCATCGTGGAGGCTGGCAGTGTCTCCCTGACTCAGCCTTCCTGTTCCCAGAATTCTCCTCTCTCCTTATCCCACCTATACTTCCTGCCTGGCTACTGGCCAATCAGTGTTTTATTTATTAACCAATCAGAGCAACACACTTAACATACAGAACATCCCACAGCAAGGAAGGGTTAAGATCACTTGTTTCTCTTCAAGTGGACAGGAATTGGGCTCCCAGAACCCAGGCTGAGTGGCTTACAATTGCCTGTAACTCCAATTCCAGGGGATCCTACATCCTCTTCTGGCCTCTGTGGACACCTGCTCATGTGTGCTATCCACAGAGACACACACAAGCTCATAACTAAGAACAAAAGTAGGCTAGGCATAGTGTCACGCACCTTGAATCCTATTGCAGCCTGGGAAGAGCCAGCTTCCAGGCGGCAGCCAGGGCTGAAAGGGAAAGTCCACAGCGTAGCTAAGCTAAGACTTTTTCTGAGGGGTTTTAGGGAAGAGAACACCCACACATATTCTCTCGATGGTTTCATTTCCTTATTTTTTTATTTTCTCATCTTGTTCTCATCATGTTGTACTACTCTGTAGTAGAATATTTTAAGCTGTGTTACTTTTGTTCATGTTGCATTTGTTTAACTCTGTGAAGCTGTGTTACTGTGCCTGTGTAAATCACCTGATGGTCTAACACAGAACTGAACGGCCAATAGCAAGGCAGGAGAAAGGACAGGCAGGGCTGCAGGCAGAGAGAATATGTAGAGGGGGAAATCTGGGAGGAGAGGCCTAAGAGCTAGAGCCAGAGAAGAAGGAAGCCATCGGGGTCCAGCTACACAGCAAGTTATGAAATAAGAATAAAATTTACAGAAGTTAGAGAAAGGGAAAAGCCCAGAGGCAAAAGGTAGATGGGATAATTTAAGATAAGAAAAGCTGGCTAGAAACAAGCCAAGCTAAGGCCGGGCATTGATAATTAAGAATAAGCCTCCATGTATGATTTATTTGGGAGCTGGGTGCCGGGCCCCCCAAAAAGACCAACAAACAACAACACTACTCTGTTGCTTCCTCACGTTGTATCCTCTTGTTGCTCCTGCCTCTCAAGCCGTTTTACAGTTTGTATATTCCAACAAAACCTTTTTGAGGCAATCCCAGAGTCACACAAAGGGCACATTCCATAATTAAGTGAATGATTATAGAAACCATGACTATGTAAACATTTTTGAACAAACTCCCTGCAATTAGAGGGTAACTGGCGAGTGCTGAGTCTCCAGGCAAGGAGACCGTATATCCTCTAATTAAAGCCCAAGCCAACCTTCCTGAGACAAACCGTATGGTTTTTAGCATCAGCTCAAGTCTGTACTTTCAAAGATACTACAGCATACTAATACTAAAATCTTAAGATGTACTTTTTGTCCTGTGTGTAGCTCCTGATTATCTAAGAACACCGGCAGCCCTCATTTGGGGCTACAGAGTCACGTTATTTTCTGTAGCCTTGACTAGTCAGATTATATTTTCACAAATTGAGGTCAGGAATCGGTGCAAGGACTTAATCATTTGCCAGCTAGCAATAATTGGACTGTCTTTGTATTTACAACCTAGCCAGACAGAACAGCTGTGTGTCCTCATGAGTTAAAAATTGGAAACATTTATCTAAGAAAAACCATTAGCAAGGCATCAGGTCTAATCTAAAGCTCTTTTGAATCTTTGTTTCACCTAATGATGTACAAGAAACCTTTGACTTCATATCTCAGCATAAAGATTAAAGGAGCCAGCCTGGCTCCTGGACACAAATGTTTCCCTAAAGCATAAATCTGAGCTGTGGTCTAAAGCAGCTCCTAAGTGTGACTCACAGGCCTCGTGGAACCACAGGTCTTTGTTATGAAACATATCCTGGTTTTATTTATAGTCATCAAACTCTGTGTCAATTAGACAATACAGCTTAAGGAGGACTGATCATTTAGACAAAAGATCAAGATGTATTCATGAGATAAACACACTACAATGCAGGTAGTGGGGGATCCCCACATACATATGCATTATATCAGGTACCAGAGAAAAGCATGTAGGCACAGCAGAAGCAGAGGACAACCTGGAGTCTGTATTCTCGGGAGCCCTGCTTGAACAAGACATACCCATCAGAGTTTTTCTTCACGTGGCCTGACACCTGAACTTCAATTGCTACCTGCTGTTACTCTGGCATGGACACAGGCACTGGCAGAATCCCAATACGTGGGAGGCAGAGTCAGGCAGACCTCTGTGAGTTCAAGGTTAGCCTGGTCTACAAATGAGTTCCAGGCCAACCAAGGCTATATAGTGAGACCCTGTCTCAACAAACAAACATTACATAACTAAATAAATCTCAAGATGGGAAAAGAGGGAGAGGAAAAAGGAGGGGAGAGGGAGAGAAAGAGAGAGAGAGGAGAGAGAGAGAGAGAGAGAGAGAGAGAGAGAGAGAGAGAGAGAGAACGAACATGAGGTCTCAGCTCTGGATCAGTTCATCGAAGCAAATCCTGACTAAAAATGCTGGCACTTTTGGAGGTCAGCAGTCTGTTCAAACTACAGGTCATCGTGGGGGTTATTTAAACCTCCTTCTGGGCCAAAATGGTTTTAAGAATCCTGTAACAAGAGAGATGTGAGCGGGAAATATCGTGTGATCTTAGATGGAATCCTGGTCCTCAGTTGGGGAAAATGGCTGAGGGCAGTTGAGAAAGCTAGAAGGAGAATGGTAGATTAGTAAATGTTTAATTTGGTTAAAAGATAAATGTTAAAGGGTAAATGTTAGGTTTCTCGAAAATTGATAACTGGTATCTAAGACTATTTCCTTGTCCTTAAACTTAAAGGAACTCTAAGATGTAAGGCAGTAAGGTAGCATGATGTGTGCAACTTGTTCAAAACAGGGCTGGAGAGATGGCTCAGAGCAGAGGACCTGGGTTCAATTCCCAGCACCCACATGGTGGCTCACAACCGCCTGTAACTCCAGTTCCAGAGATCCGATACCTTCTTCTGGCTCCAAGGGCACCAGGGACACCGGTTGTACACATAGGTGAGACACCATACACATAAAAATAAAATTTTAAGAAAAAAACTGTTCAGAAAAAAATAGTAATATGGTGTGACCTAGATAGTACACGACTGTCAACTGTAACAGGCGCATTTTATATTTTATTGACAACTGAATGATAATATTGTACTAAATTACACAAAATTATAGAAAAATAATAAAACAAATGTGAAAAATAGAAGAAGGGGAATTGTCAAAATAAAGAAATTTGGCAAAGGCTGGTCGAGGTGATTCAAGAAGACATTGCTGTCACTGACTGACCTTGAACTTGTTAGTAGTGCTAAGAGATAAATGCCACAGAACAGGGGTGCTGCTAAGCAAATTCATTCTGTGTGTAACTTTTAGTCAAATATCTACATAACAATAAAGCCGGACATTTCTATTTTCAGGTTATGTCTTTCCTTACCAATGTTGGCGCCTTCCACACTGAGCAATCATACCCACGTAATACATTCCTTTTAGATACTCCAGTGCACTCTGGATAATTCTTCTGATTTCTAAGTTTGGAATTCTTTCAAAGTAAACTATTTACCAGTCACTCCTCTCTGGGTGTGGCGCTGTACACCTGAAATCCCAGCACTCCAGAGGCAGGAGGATGACTGCAGGGGGAGCCACCTAGTGGGTGGGCAGATGTGGGCCAGCTACACACACGAACACACCCAGACAGCAACAGAACTCAGCTGAGAAACACAGTGACAGTGCCTGGCCTCTAGAGACACTTAGCTCTTGTTCTCAGCAAAACTGAGGCAACAAACCCAGAATATGCTGCTGCTTCTTCTTCTTCTTCTTCTTCTTCTTCTTCTTCTTCTTCTTCTTCTTCTTCTTCTTCTTCTTCTTCTTCTCTCCTCCTCCTCCTCTCCCTCCTCCTCCTCCTTCAGTTTATAAATAGCTTCATTGTGGCATTTTCCTTTTTTTAAAACCTTTTTAAAAAAAAAAAAAAAAACGAAGTTTCACTGGATAGCCCAGGCTGTCCTGGAACTCTCTGTAGACCAGGCTGGCCTCAAACTCAGAGATTCACCAACCTCTGCCTCCTGAGTGCTGGGATTAAAGATATAAGACAACATGCAGTGTGGCATTTTCACACATTTGTGGCATTATGCTTTGTTCTTATTCATTCTCTCTCCTTCTGACTGTCCTCTCCTGTTCCCCTCTCCCACCTGTAATTCCTCCTTTGCTAATTGCCATGACAGAGTTGCAGCAGGTGCAACTGAAGTTCAAGGTGTCAGCCCACCAGGAGGCAACTCCGTGATGGGTGAGTCTCAGACAGGCAAGGCCCTGAGACCACAGACCCCAGGGTGTCTTTTGCTTCTCTGTGCCTTTACATGTTGGATGCTGCCATCTTTCTCTGGTATCTGGCATGGTGTGAATGGGTGTGGGGAGATCCCCACTGCCTGTACTGTAGTGTGTTTATCACATGGATGCATCCTGTTCTACTGGGCATTTTTGCCTGTGGATTATTATGAAGATGATTTCTTTCTTTCTTTCTTTATTATGAAGATAATTTATTCTTAAGCTGTACTGTCTCAATGATGACAATAATGTTGGTTTAAATAGTCTTGATGGTTAAAAATATAAACAAGGGGGCTGGAGAGATGGCTCCGAGGTTAAGAGCACTGGTTGTTCTTCCAAAGGTCATGAGTTCAATTCCCAGCAACCACATGGTGGCTCACAACCATCTGTAATGAGATCTGGTGCCCATTTCTGACCTGCGGGGATGCGTGCAGGCAGAACACTATATACATAATAAATAAATAAATCTTTAAAAAAAATATAAACAAGGAAGTGTCACACTGCTACAACACATGAGTTTCTATTGAGGAGCCGTACAGACCGTGGCTTAGGTTAATGATTAAGAAAAACAATTGAGTCCCAGTTAGACCAGCTAGCTTAAATTCTTTTAGGCTTAATGCTGGGAACTGTGTTCACAGGTTTTGGAATGCATCACAGCTGAAAGAAAGCTTTGAAAATAACTTAAAGTTAGACTAAGATTTTTCTGTCAAATAGCTTTGAGGTGAAAAAACCCATGAAGACAATCTAAAGTTTTAGAAAGGCACATAGTTGAGTGAGGAACTCTTTAAGGTCAGAGAACAAGAACAAAGTAGTCCAATTATTACCAGCTGATACACTTTTCTTGCTAGGACGGGTTGATGACCAAAGGTGATGATTAATTCCTTGTACCCATTTTTGCCCTCAATCTCCTGCTATAAGAAACTATTGATGAGTAGGTGTGCACCCCAAAGATTTAAAGTAGAGCTTACTGATTTTTTATATATGAAAGTTTAGGTTTGTGATTCCTTATAAGATTACCTTTCGCCAGGCAGTGGTGGCACACGCCTTTAATCCCAGCACTTGGGAGGCAGAGCTAGGTGGATCTCTGTGAGTTTGAGGCCAGCCTGGTCTACAGAGTGAGTTCCAGGAAAGGCATCAAAAACTATAAAAAGAAACCCTGTCTTGAAAAACAAAAGAACAAAACAAAACAAAAAAGATTACCTTTGAAGATAAGTAATAAAGTAATTGGCTCTTTCTTTGTAACTGCAAAATGCAGCCTGCCAGTAAAAGACCTGACTGAGAAGAATATCTTGCTTGCCTAC